GCAACTCCGCTAAATATTTATTAGTGATTACTAATTGTTAGCGGAGTTTATTTTTTATATTGCCCACCTATTCTATAGAACATCCTTTTTTTGGTCTGTCTTTATTTAGTAATCTTGCTACATTATTCTTTTCAAATACTTTGGATGAATCATGGTTTTATCTTGTTACTACTGCCATAGAAGGATTTGGTGGAAGGGCCCTTACTGCAATAATGTCTGCCGTTCATGCTGTTAAGGTTGGAAATAACCAAATTTTGACAGTCGCATTGAGGGACATAAATTCTACCATTGTTGACATTAATGCCACTCTGCAAAGGATGCATGAAAAATGTGATCCATATGTTTTTTATTGGATGGCACGACCATACTTAAATGAAGATCGCTTACCGCGAGGATTGATATATGAAGGTGTGGATGGCAACGATGAAAATGGAAATCCGATTTATCGTCGATATGTAGGGGCTAGTGCTGGTCAGAGCGCATTGATCCAGGCATTGGATATTGCTCTGAATATTGAACACTATCCAACAGAAATAAAACCACAAATTAATGGACAATGTCCTTATACTTCTGGAAACAGTTGTTTTTGATTCCTGGGCCTAATTCATGGTGGGTCTACTATTTGGGGATCTTGTATATGGTATTCAAAAAAGATTATGATGATAAAAAGGGAAACACCTAATTTAATAATAATAATACAACAGAACAATATTCGCCTGACGAGAATAGTATCAAATTACAACAACCTTATCTTTACAAAATTCGTCAAAATATGACTGGTCGTCGTAGGAAATTTCTCGAAGATCTCGCAAAGGTTGCAAACATTCGTAATTATATCATTTCACAGATGAGTTATGATTCTAGTATCCCCGCTTCTTCACCCGATGAAGACATAGAAATGCTTCCAGGAACAAACGAAATGGTACAAGCGTATAATGAATGTTTAAATCAAATGAAAAATTCCCTAAGCAAACACTTACAGCTTGTTAGTGAATATATTGTGATACAAACGCATCGAATAATGGCGACTCGCGTCAATAAATAAAGGTAATGTGAGATTATTATACTAACTCAAATGTTTATTAATATTTACTAATTTATACTATTAATACTTATAATGATATTACAAAATTTATTAATACTTGTTATTGGCACATAGATGAGTACAACTAAGAAATAACTACTAACACTACAAAAGTAAAAACTACTACCACCAAATCCTTTGAAATTAAGGGTACTGGTGGGACTAATTTAATTCCTTTTTTAAAACAAATGAGGGATGAAACAATGATTCAGGAGATTCAGAACTCTTTTGAATGAAATCAATAGTTACCTTGAT